GCTCGTTTAGGGAAAAGCTCCTTCAGTTCGAGCCGCTTCAAAGGACGCGGCGCCGGGTGCCCGAAAGTAAGCGCGGGAGCTCCCGCAAATCTTAACGTTTTCGCACGTTTTTTAACAAAAGTAATTAAAAAAAAACGCAGAAAAAAAGAAGAAGATGAAGAAAGGAAAACTAAACAAACGAAAGCGGGGGACGGAGCAGGGAACGGAGCAGAGACCCGGGCGCCACCGGCTCCGCTCCCCTCTGCAGCTTTGAGCTCTTTCACTTTGCGAAAAACTCTTAGTTAACTCCTTTCTCTCCTTTTTTCTTTTTTTTTTCCCCCTTTTTTTTTTTTTTCTCTCGTTTCAGAGGCGGTTTCGGCAAACGCTGCTCAGGATTTTTCACGACAGGTCTCGCTCAGCCCTTAGCAACTTTTTTTCTTTTTTTTCCCCCCCTTCCATTAAGTTCCTCTCGAAAAGAGGAGTTTTTAGCGCGCTGGGGTAAATAACCCCGTGCACGGACTTAACGCACTGGGAGTTTTTACTTGCCGCGATCGCTTTTACTACGGTTTTAAACACACCATGGGGAAAAAAATAAATCTTGGAAATATCATTTGCGTTTTAATTTTCTTAGCGAAAGGGGGTAACTTCTCACTCCCTTCTCCCCAAAAGAAATACCACCAAGTAGCAATTTGTTAGAAAGAGGTAACAGTGCAAAGTATTGGAATATTTTCCATGTTGTTGCGCTGCAAGTTGGTGTTATCCGAGCAAGCGCTTCCAGGAGGGCCCGAGCATTCCCGTCTCCAGCCCGGGCGCTCCCGTTTGCTCCCTACCTGTTGTGCCTTTGGAGCGGGATGAGCCCCCTGGAAGCCACCACCGCGGCCGGGATTAACGTGGAGCTTTCGGAGTGAGACCCGCTCTAAAAGCTGCACCCCGGACCAAGGCAGAGTTCAGCTCCGGGGTTGCGGATGCGCTAAGGAGTGTCGAAAGGCAAAGCCCCGGCGCCGCCACTCGCGACGCGCCGTTTAAAATGACACTAAATTCCCCTTAAAGTAGCAACGTTTTCAATTATTCGTCTCCATCGCCTGCGCGTTGTCCCCCCTCTCCAGCTTAAACCGATAATTACGTGGAGGGGGGACAGGGACAGGGCTGCTGCAACAGAGGCGCCTTCGTGGACACGGCCTGAAGTTGTGGCCTTCCCCCTCGCAACTCTAATAAATAAGGCCGGCACTTTGATGAAAATTAACGCGAGTTTTGTAAAGAGCACATTGGGGGATTGCAGGCAGGCCTTATCTTTAGTTCCAGTCAACTAGCAATCCTGAAAGAGTTTGCATCCCCATCAGAGCAGGCCATTTGATAGGATTCTGATGCTGAACCTAATCAATCTCGGGAAGACTGGGGCTGCGCGGTGTAACAAAGCTAAAATAGATTTACAAATGGGGTTTTAGAGGATAAGCTCCTCCACAGGATTACATATTGATTTTAAATATAAAAAGCTTATCATATAAACCATAACTACAAAAATAGTGAACCTATGCATAAATCCTTTTAGAAGAGCACCCACTTCAAACTCGGAGCCAAGAATGAATCAAGATGTACCACGTCCTAAAGCAGATCCATTTCCCGGGCCGCAAACGAACACGCCACCCCAAGGTGTGCAAAAACCAACTTAGCTTTTCTAAGGAGGCAGCAAATCTGGG